TTGCTTTGTGCCTAGATAGTAAGCATTATTATTATAAATCTTATTATATCTTTTAACCCCTTAAATGAACTGAAGTATTAAAATAAATAGAAAATGTCTATCATATTTAAATAAAATTTATTTTATGGTGTAATACAAGAATACGGTTCAATTTAGCCTCCCTGCCTTTGTGGTGCTAACAGTTAGCTAGAATTGCAATGGAATCTTGCAAGGGACAAGAGAAGAAATGAGTAATCTTGTGATCATTCAAATGCAAACTGCTAATTTGATAATGCATGCAGGAGAGATAGGAAAGAAAAAAAATTAGGCCATGGTCAACTAACTTTTGGAAATATTTTAGCTTCAGAAGTACTTTTTTCCCCTTATAAATTTCATATTTATTTATTTATTATTATTTTTGAGTTGGAGTCTCACTCTGTTGCCCAGGCTGGAGTGCAGTGGGACGCTCCCGGCCACCACAGCCTTGACCTGCTGGGCTCCGGCCATTCTTCTGCCTCAGCCTTCCAAGTAGCTGCAACTACAGGCATGCGCTACCATGCCCGGCTAATTTTTGATTTATTGTAGAGATGAGGTCTCGCCAAGTTGCACTCACCTCGGCCTCCCAAAGCGCGGGATTACAGGCTGAGCCACCGAGCCCAGCATAAATTTCATATTTAAAATTCTCGAATTTAAAATCTTTTTCCAAATAAGAAGTTATGCTGTTTCAATTTCTGAAAATTCATGTATTCATAGACTTGATTTTACGTTTCAGCAAACTTCAGAAAGGAATGACTGCCAAAATGTATTATAACCTATATTCTCATATGCTTCTCTCATTATCTTCTTTAAAACTTCTCTCTAAAAATGTTGTAGGGACAGCTGTTATTAGGGTAATCGTGTGCACTTTATGTGCAGCTTATGGCAATAGCAGAACAGTCAAAGCAAGAGCGTGGTGCAGTATGCTTCAACATGCTGCAGCCACATTGCTTTCAAGGCTGACTGTGCTGTCAGTCTTGAGCTGACAGCTGTGATGAACAGAATGCCGTGTAACTTATTTGTATGAAAAGGAATTGACAGTTATAGGGAATAATTCATGTAACATTTTGTAAAAGTAAACACAATTTTCAACCCTCAAGAAACTGTTTCAAAGAAAAAAAAAAGGAATGGAGACGAAAGGTAATTTTGACCAACAGAAAAGGCCTGAAGAGAAATAGATGATGTCAGAGGCTATGTAAGACATCATTTTCCAGACTGATTAGACATACAGTCAACTCTAAGAATAATAGTTGAAGAGTTACAAATTTCTAAAGAAAACATACCCATCCTCAGTGTAATTGTAAACACATGAAATATCTCTGTGAAGCCTATATTATGTCATTTTGTTAATAGATTAAGTGAAAATTGTGAGAATTTCATGTATTTCTGTTTTCCCAGTTCCTTTTTTTTAAAAAAAGAGGCTGGCATGGTGACTTACATCCGTACTCCCAGCACTTTGGGAGACTAAGGAGGGCAGATAGCTTGAGTCCAGGAGTTCAAGACCAGCCTGGGCAGCATAGGCCAGACTTCATCTCTACAAAGAGACATGGTGGTGCACACCTGTAGTCCCAGATACTCAGGAGACTGAGGTGGAAGAATCCTGAGTCCAGCAGGCTGAGGCTGCAGTGAGCCATAATCATGACTCAAAAAAAAAAAAGAAAAAGAGAGAGAGAGAGAGTCAAAGGAAGTAGGGAGGGACATAAGGAAGGAAGGAATAATGGAAGGAAATGGGTACATATTCATCCCAAGTAAAGATGATAGTGATTTTTTCCTACAATATCAATAATATTATTTATTCTGAATTAATCTCACATGGTCACATGATCAAATGGCAGCTAGACATATTAGAGATTATTTTTGAATTGTGTGAACTTGGCCAAATAGTTTTTCTTGAGCCATTGTCACATGCTCACTGGTTAAACGCTTTTGTATCATATGTTTATTAGGCTTGCAACTGAAAAACTCTTCACTTATTCAAAAAATAATTCATTTCTGAATAAGGATTATTTAGTATCAATTAGTATTAATAAGATAGTGGTAATCATGCTAAGAAAATTTTCCCCCAGTATAACCAAAAATTAGTACTGCTTATTCAGAGAAAGTACTGGTGATTTCCTCCTCATGTTGTGAATTTTATTTTTCATTTTAACTTGATGGCATGGACACTCATCTTACTTTCCAGAAAAATTACATGAATCTTTGAATGATCACAAGATTACTCGTTTCTTCTCTTGTCCCTTGCAAGATTCCATTGCAATTCTAGCTAACTGTTAGCACCACAAAGGCAGGGAGGCTAAATTGAACCGTATTCTTGTATTACACCATAAAAAAAATTACACAACCATACCATTATTTAAACTCATTTAAACACAGACTGTGTTATAGCTGCTTAATTAGGTATCTCTGAGACTGTCATTCAAAAAGCCACTGAGTTAGCCATAACCTGGCTTTCTTTACTGTGCTGAATGATCTTGAGAAGAAGATGTAACATCAAACCAAAACATTGATTTTCTCCAGCAGCATAAGTTGAAACAAAGGTAGCAGCTGGGCATGGTAGTGCACACCTATAGTTCCGGCTACTTGGAAGGCTGAGTTGGAAGGATTGCCAAAGCCCAGCAAATCGACGTTGGGGTGGCCGTGAGCATGCCACTGCTCTCCAGTCTGGGTGACAGAGTGAGACTCCGACTCAAAAAAAAAAGGTAACAGGCATCCCTGATACTGGCAACGTAAAGAATGCCTTTCACACAAAGTGACAGGAGAATTGCTTGTGCATCAATAATTCTATCTTTTTTTTTTTTTTTTTGAGTTGGAGTCTCACTCTGTCGCCCAGACTGGAGTGCAGTGGCCACTCCTGGTCACCACAGCCTTGACCTGCTGGGCTCCAGTGATCCTTCCACTTAGGCCTTCCAAGTAGCCAGAATTACAGGCATGCACTACCACACCCAGCTGATTTTTTGATTTATTGTAGAGATGAGATCTCGCCAAGTTGCCCAGGCGGGTCTCGAACCCACGGGCTCAGGCAGTTCACTCACCTTAGCCTCCCAAAGTGCAGGATTACAGGCTGAGCCACTGAGCCCAGCGCCCAGCTAATAATTTTATCTTAGATATACTTGCATATATAGGCATACTGAGCTTTGGTGAAAATTGCTGTCCAAAAACCTGGTATAATAAATGTTCAAAAATGATTTAATGAAAAAACACTTACAATGTGCCAAATCTCCGTGTGGGATGTAAAGACTTATGGTTCCTGTTTGGAAGAGAGAAGGAGGTTTTACATACTGAAGAAGAGAAAAGTATTAGATGTAGTTAATAAAGATAAAATATGCTGCATCATTGAACTCAAGGGTAACACTGTGACATACAAATAATGTAAGGATGGGAGAGTGCAGTGTGTTTACATTTCATGCACTGAAGAGTAGAGGGCCTGAGATACAACTGCTGGCTGCATTCCCAATTGCTTCCATTATAGACCTTCTCCTCATGTCAATGGCAATAGAAATCCACATTTAAATATACATATATATAAAATAAATGAAAAAAGAAATCCACATTTTACAAATGATAATCTATAATTAAGGGCAAGAAATTTCTGGAGAGAGATTCTGAAAAGATTTTAGCAGTGGGCCAAGGGTGAGATCCAAAGGGGAGGGAATTTAATTATAAATAATGGCAATTGTATTAAGTCTACAAGCTTGAGTATTTCATTGGGTACTACAGACTCCCTGTGTAGATTATTGTAGTTTATGTGATAACCTAATGTTTTCTTAAATTTGGAGAACAGGGCATCACTGCATGAGGAACAGGACAAGTCATAGTAGAGATCATTATCCTTTTGTGAAAGCAATTGTGTTCTATAAGTTTGCTACTTGTCCTGCCTTCTGTGGCCCCTGTGAAGGTCAAGGCATCATTTCAAGTGGTTTGGATAAATAGGAAGAATTTACTGTCTATGGGAGGTGACTAGGGGAGGCAGGGACTTAACATAAATAGCAAAAAGCAGTATGTCAGCTTTACATATGTGATTTAATTTAGCATTGTCAATAAAAGTTTAGCTCATTGGAAAATTTAAAGTAATATTAATTTGAGGAACTAGTAGATTATTTTATTGAAATGTCTAGCTGAATATTTTTGGCTGTTTACTTGGTAAATGGATTTTGGTGACTTGAGTAAAGAAGTAGCATAATAAAAACTGTGTTTTGACAGTTTGACCAGGGTGTGCCATGTAAAAATTCTTGGACAAAAGGGAGAGCAGAGACAGGAGACAATTTATTAAACTCAAGATCCCTCTTACTACCTATTACAGTGATCAAGCATGAGTTGATAAAGACTTGGACTATGGTAACAGCCAAGGAAATGGCAAGGAAGTGGGAGAATTGCTAGAACTTGATAACTTTGAATATAAGGATATATATTATAATGGTTATTAACATTTATTTAGCCTTTACCTAGAAATAGGTAGACTTACTTTTATTGTCTCATTTAATCTCAATCATTTTATGAACTATAGACACTAATATCACAAGGGATTTTTTTCAAGATCACATAGATAATTTTTTTCAGACTAGAACCTAAACTTTGGTTTCTAGCTGAACCCAAGCCATGATGTAAAGGATACAGTTTTCTCCGAGGCTAAAATAAAGTGTAATGCTAGCATTTCTGGTTGGGAGATAGATTATCATCAGAAGTCTGACTTGGCCAGGCTCGGTGGCTCAACCTGTAATCCCAGCACTTTGGGAGGCCGAGGCGAGTAGATTGCCTGAGCCCTCGGGTTCAAGACCAACCTGTGCAACTTGGAGAGACCTCGTCTCTACAATAAAAAAAAAGATAGAGCCCAGCAGATGGATGTTGGGGTGGCCATGAATGTTCCACTGCACTCCAGCCTGGGTGACAGAGTGAGACTCCAAAAAAAAAAAAAGAAGTCTGGCTTAATGTTGATCATTGTCATGTGTATAACACAAATTCATCTCTTTTTCCTTTTTTTTCTTTAGTGCGACTTCATGACAGCATATCAGAAGAAGGCTTTCATTACTTGGTGTTTGATTTGTAAGTATGCACTCTGTGTTCATTTATTTTTGTAGTCTATTTGAAGACCATTTTGAACTAAATATGATTCATCTCATTGTATAGTCCAAATTAATAACGTTCAACTCTAATTTTTTTGAAAAGAGGTTACTAGTCAGCAATGTTTTATTTAAAATTTTCAATTAACTTTCATAAGTGAAACATGACCGTTTCTTTTTGCATTGTCCGTTGTTATGTCATAAGTAGTTCTCAGTTTTACCCTGCAGTACAAAAATGACTGACATAAGCAAAATTTTCCAATGAATTTCCAAAGAATATGTAAAATTTATTATCTTATGCAAAAAGAAGACTCAAGCAAGAAGCCAGGATTACTAAAATTGATTTAATCTAATCAGGACTTTTCAACTGAGATTCTATCAGCAAGGTTGAAGGGAAAATAATAACTCTTGGCAGGGATATAGTAAAATAGTTCACACATATGGCTTGTAGGTGTTTAATAAGAACATACTTTCTAGAAATCAATTTTACACCATTGTGCTTATTGAAAGACTCAAAAATGTTCATATCATTTGACATAGTAATTTTACTTCTAGAAGCAAAGTCCATGGAAAGTATACTTTAAATTCAGATAAAATTTTATGAAAAAAGATGTTCATTGCATTATGCTTTATAATGGGGAAAAAAAAGAAAGGAAAAAGTCAACTTAAGGATTCAATAAAAGAGAAATAGTTGCATAATTACAGTACATTCATATAATAGATCACTCTCTAGCATTTAAATGTTATGTTCACAAAGAGTTTTGGAAAATATAAGAAAAAAGTATTTCACATGATATGAATCTGAAGGCAGGTTAATACTAGGTTTGATTAATTCACCCCTTCTATGATTTCTTTAAGAAACCATATTCTATCATTCTGTTTTTGATAGTGTGTGGGTTTGTCTTTATGCTCAGGATTCCCTTATGGTCTGAAGTTGACTCCATTTTCAGGTGTCAAAGTGACTTCCAAAGGCAGAAAAAAAGGAGTAATAATTCTATTGTATGAATTTTTATTCATGGAGAAAGCCTTTCTCAAGAGTCCTTCGGAAGATGTCTGTTAATGAATCCTTATCATGATTTGCTTCTCAAGCCAAGTATTGGTAAAGAGAATGGAATAACAACAATTGGCATTGGCTAATCATAATTTACTCTGTAGGTCTGGTAAGGGAACTGACCACCTCTGAATCATATGAAGCCCATAAAAGAACTAAACTATGATTTTGTTACTAAGAAAGAAGGCAAGTCTTGCCTGTTGGTTAGGCAACCAAGCATGTGTATGCTATAGAAGACTAAAGTTCTTCTTATGCACAGCCCTACTGCACAGGCTCCTTTCTGCAGTCGCAGTCCATCCGTGGCTTGCTCATGTGCCTGTGGTTTGGCACCACTCTATGTTGTTCTAGTAGTCCTTCCTCTTCAGTTCTCTCTGGGAGCTCTTATTTTTACTTTTTCATTGTTTGTTCTTCTTTCCTGCTAGTCCGGGATCCTCTCTTTTATGATTTTCTTTCTTGGATTTCCTTTTAGCCATTTTTTAGGGTAGTCATGCTAGCAACAGTTTCTTAGTTTTCCTTTTTCTGAGATTTCCTTTGTCTCCATTTCTCCTTTATTTCTGAAGGATATTTTTGCCAGATATAGAATTATATAGGTTTTCAGTTCTTTTATTTCAATGTTATGCTACTTCCTTCTGGATTTCTTTGCTTTTTGTGAGAAATTGCCTGTCATTTTAATTGTTTCTCCCTAAAGATAAGGTGTTATTTTACTTTGCTTTAAAGGTTTTTCCTTTGTCTTTGGTTTTCCAAAGTATGTCTGTGATGTGTCTTGGCTTGAATTTCTTAGGGTTCACTTAGCCTATTGAATGTGTAGATTTATGCCTGACAAACAGAAAATTTTTAGGCCTGCCTTCTTTTTCCTTTCCTGTTAGAAATCTGATGATACAAATGTTGGCTGTTTTGTTATAGTCCAATAGATCCCTGAGGCTGTTTTTCCCCCAGTCTGTTTTCTTTCTATTAGTTCTGCTGTTGAGCTCATTGAGTTTATTTTTAAAATTTCAGTTATTATTATTATATTATTTTTCAGTTCTACAGTTTCCTTTTGGTTCTTCTTTATATTCTCTCTCGCTCTCGCTCTCTTTTTTTTTGCCAAAACTTCCTATTTTTGTTTGTTTTAAGTGTTTTCAAAAGTGCTCACTGAAACCTTTTTTAAATGATGTTGGATTCAAAATCTTTGTCAGATAATTCCAACAGTGTCATCATCTTGGTGATGGTCTCTGTTGATTATCTTCTCATTCAAATTGGGATTTTCCTGGTTCTTGATATGATGAGTGATTTTTCTGGACATTTAAGGTATTATTTTATGAAACTTTGGATTAACTAAATAATTTTTTAGCAGACCTTTTCTGATACCAGAGTTCCCACTCAGCCTCAATTGATATGCCTGGGTGGTATTTCCTTATTGCTGGACAGGGATTGGAACACAGGTTTTGTTTTGTTTTGTTTGTTTGTTTTTTCAATATTTAATGGGAAAAATGCATCTTCCGTTTTGTTTTTAAATCAGACCTATTGTCATTTCTCAATGGATTAAATTTTTCAACTCTTCTTTGCTCTACAAATCAAAGTATGGTGTTATAAACTGAGATATGTCTTTCATGTTATGATGAATACTGAAACACTTTTGATAGTTCTCATTACTTAAGTAAAATCATTCAGAATTGGATTTGATAACAACTTTGTCAGGAGAAAAAAACCTTTTCTGTACCCATTTAGGTTTAGTGTCTCAGAACATGAGAATTAAACTAACAGAATAAAAGCACACAATTTTTATTAATGTTTATGTGCAAGGGAGTTCACAAGAAGTAAAATTCAAAGTAGCAGTTAGACTCAGGGGCTTTTATATTCGTTTAACAAAGAAAAGAGGATTTGAGCTTCAAGGGATAATAAAAAATTGATTTATGAAGAAGTAGCTAGTAAATATATGATTAAACTAGTGGAAGAAAAGGTCTTTATTAGTAAGATCTGTTTTTGGAAACTCATCTTGCTGTTGACTGCATTCTGATAAGAATCCATTCTTTCTCATTGGTATGAGGGAAAAGGGAGTACCTTCCTGAAAGAGAAATTTATACTCTGCCTTTAGATAGATAAGGGAAAGCAGAGGATTCTTCCTGCATTTGCTGATTCTCAATTACCTTTAGCTCAAAATAATCCTTATGAAAGTGGCATATTTCGGGGTGGCGTATTCTGATTCCTTTCTGCTGCAAGAAGCACTTGAGTATTAGGTGAAATCCTTTGATTCTGCCAGTTTTCCAGTAATCATGTTATTTATATTTACACTTTAAATTGTGTAGGCTTTCTATATTTCTTTCTAAAGTTAGGCAGTGATAAGAATCATGTAGAATCATGTAGTTTCATGTACCATTTTTAAAAAATTCAGCACCAATTCAGAAATTGGCAAAGAACATATTAATGAAAATAGTAAAAACAAAAAATGATTTTTAACTAGGGTGAAACTTTACATGCAAACAATAATAATTTGAAGTATACTGCAAAAGGCAACTGAACTTATGCTTCTAGAATGAAGAGCTCATACTCTTTGCAATTATTCTTTAGTATTTGAGGGTTTTTTGTTTTTGTTTTGAATCAGAGTCTCTGTCGCCCAGGCTGGAGTACAGTGGCACACTCATGGCCACCCTAGCGTCAACCTGCTGGGCTCCGGCGATCCTTCTGCCTTAGCCTTCCAAGTAGCCGAAACTACAAATGCATGCTACCACGTCCACCTAATCTTCGATTTAGTGTAGAGACGAGTTCTCACCAAGTTGCCCAGGCTGTCTGCAACCCACGTGCTCAAGCAATCCATTCGCCTTGGCCTCCCAAAGTGCTGGGATTACAGACTGAGTCACCGAGCCCTACCTGAAGTTTGTAAAGTTGAAGAGGAGGGTTATCAGTAGTTATTATCAAAATACTCTGCCAGTAAATGAGATTAATAAACTAGTTAAATAATCCAGTAAAGTATATAGTTTTAGAGCACAATTGGAAAACAGTGGTTAAAAATACATATTTTCGATGACTGAAAAGAGAGCATAACAGATTTAAGTATTAATTCCTCAAAATTACATGATTGTTATGGAGATGATCTATGAAAAGAATAGTAAGAAGCTTTAGAAAAGGGCACATTTTAAATATAGTTAAGAAAAGTACTGTCTTAAAGATATCAATAAAATATTCATATGGGAAAACTGGAAGCCACTTACTTAACCAGTCAGTTTCAAGATAAAATAACTGCTTGAATTCCTAAAGAGGAATGTTTCTTGTATTCTTCCTTTTGATGATAGTTTTGGCAGTGTGGTACTTGTGCATACTTCCTGTGGAATGTAAGCTATTCAGAATCTAATGGAAGTTCTATTTTTATAGGTGCATTGAGTCTTCTTCTAATGGAATACTTTTTACTTTGTAAAGAGCAAAACAGAGGAATATATGAGTTCTAAGGAAAAAAATTATTCTTGCTATTTTGAATTTATATATTTTTGTCCAGGCATATATAGCTATTTTCAACTACAAAACTTTAATAGTCACTTTTGCAAGTAGACTCAAGAATCAGTGGGAAAGGCTTTCATAAAAGCAAAGTCATCTTCATAACAAATAATGAACTGCCCCGATTTTTCCTAATCATTCTTTCTCAGAGTGTGTGCCTAGTAGGATTTTCAGGCACACTTTAGCAGCTCTGGGGAGCAGGAAGGGATAAATCTATAGAAATGCAGATTTATCTGAAATCTAAGAGAGAAAATGAAGCTAGATTATAGTCCCCAAGGTAGAGAAGCCTTTAGGCAAGAACTTTGGCCTTAAGCAGATCAGGCAGATCCAGTTCATTTCTAGCGCTGATGAGAAATAAAGTCTTAACAAGGGCAGTCATCTGAATATATGTGTTAACAGAGAGAGAAAGCTGTTTTCCCTCTACTGACCTTAGGTTCACTGGCAGGTGCCCTGTAACAGATTGA